GCTAAAACAGAATATGGAATAGAATAGAAATATCCCTCATTGTACCACAGTGGTGGAATTCAGGTATACACCATCAGAAAATACTAACGGATGCAAGATGAAAGAAACAAAGATGAAATGTAAAAAACAAAAATTAAAATCTGTACAGTAAGGGCAAATTTATAAAGTAAAAAAACAATATTGTATGGTTATTTACAGATAGCATTCTCAAAATCAATATATATATATATTATAATATAAACTGTGTGAAAACATCCAAGATATAAACACCTATTTAGTTTGCTGGCGGCATTGGTGTTATAAAATTCAAACAGCTTGTGGGAGGAAGGATCTGTGATAACGGCTCTTTGGGCATTAAAGAGGATGCATGGGCTTGCAATGAAGGAGCTATCTAGCTCTGCAATAAATGCATGCATGGGGTGGAAGACATTGTTATTTTTGCCAGTCATTTCATCCCCCACCACCTTCACTTGGTTCAAGGACACAAGGAGACATGCAAGGTTCTGAAATTTCCTCTCAGCAGTATATAAGGTGTTGCTCTGACAATCTTCATCAGATAAGATGGCTGATGTCATTACAAAGTCAAAAGAAGAATCTGCTTTTACTCTTCCAGTTTTGTAACTTCAGTCCAGTTTCTTGTTCAGGTGAACATCCAGCTGCTTCTAAGTTTCAATTTTTTCATTGTAATTTCTCAGGATATTTACCAGTGTCAGTGAGGTTGGTTTGCTCCTTGCTCTTCCTTCTTTGAAGATGAGGTTGTTCAGTCCAAAACATTCTTTAACTTGAAAATAGAACAATTATGGCAGAGTCAGCTGAGAACTTCTAAAGATGGCAGCCTGAGGAGTTGATTGACTGAAGTCTACAGAGTATGAAAAGAAACAGGGCCAGCACAGATCCTTATAGGGTCCCTCAGGCTGCAGACAAGCTGCCAGAGAAACAGCCCCCTTGTCACATACTGCCTGAGGCCATTGAAATAATTCAGTATTCATTGAGTCAGATGTTGATCCATTCCTGAAAGGTCGTGCTTGTCCCTCAGAAAGCCCGACTGGATGGTATTAATGTCTTTTTTCAAACCTTAGATATGAGGCAAGACATTACTGAACAAGTTTAGAGCGACATTTCTGTATTTAGGAGTTAAATGTACGATCTGGACCAGTATACATTCTACACAATTCACTTAATTTCTAAATAACAATTCAGATTTATTTTAAACAACAGCAGCTTAGCCTATATTTGTACCACATGCATTCTTATTTATATATATACATATGTATATAAGTGGGTACATAAGCCTTTAAGTGGCGTAATAAAGCTGAAATAATCTGCTCTCACCCAAAATAATGTCTTTATATCTGTGTTTGGAATGTAGCTGTGGAACAGACCTGGAGCAATATTTAAGCATGACCAAAGAGCTGGTATAAAATCAATATGTGTAAATCAGTGGACGATTATATACATGGTTGTTAGTGATAGAGATACTGGCTGCAGTTTGACTTTCATAAAGACAGCTAGGATTTATTCTTGTCTTTAATATTTACCGTCAAATTCTTAGAATAATATTTGAAAACCTTAATGAAAAAACTGCTGCCAAGCTTCATATTTACTATTTAAAAGTACCATAAAAGTATATATTTTTTAACTGTTTGATTTGTTATATTATTAGCCACAAATTAACTTAATTCTCATCTTCCTACTTTGGATCTTGTGCTGACATACGGCATAGAATGTGAAGAAATAACAGTATTTCCTCACAACCCTGTCCTCTCTGACCACTTTCTAATAACCTTCAGGATTACTTTAACAGAGTTCTCCTCCCCCAAAAGAAGGTTCAATTTTAGTAGATCTTTATCAGATAGTGCAGTTATAAATTTTAAAGAATCTGCTTCACTTTCTCTCTGCTCTGTGTCACTGAGCAGTGCTGCAGAGTGCAAAAGCTTAGCTTATTCCCCTTCACAGGTTGATGATTTTGTTGAGGGGGTTGCTAGTTCTCTGCGTATTGCCTTAGACAACGCAGCTCCTTTGAAAATGAAAACCGTTAAAAATAGAAAGCTTGCTCCTTGGTTTAATGCAGAGCTGCGTACTTTGAAGCAAAATGCTAGGAAACTGGAGAGAAAATATCGCTCCACAGGCCTGCGAGAGTCCTTCCTAGTCTGGAAAAATGGTTTACTGCTGTATAAGAGGACCCTTTGTAAAGCAAGAGCAGCATACTTCTCCTCATTAATAGAGGAGAATAAGAATAATCCTAGATTTCTTTTTAATACAGTTGCCAAACTCACCCAGAGCCATAGCTCTGTTGAACCGTCCATTCCACCTGCTCTTAGCAGCAATGATTTTATGGGATTCTTTATAAATAAGATTGATCTTATTAAAAATAAGATCATAAGCACTCCTCTATCCGCGATTGTACCTGAGGTAGTCATGGAATCTGAACCGGGTTTAGACTGCTTTGATCCAGTTGAACTCTCTGAATTAGCAAAATTATTGTCTTCATCTAAGCCTTCAACTTGTATGTTAGATCCAGTTCCAACCAGGTTATTTAAGGAGGTATTCCCTTTGATCTCCTCCTCCATTTTAGATGTGATTAATCTATCTCTGTTACAGGGATATGTACCTAAAGCTTTTAAGATTGCTGTAATTAAACCTCTGCTTAAGAAACCGTCTCTTGACCCAGATGACTTGGTCAATTATAGACCTATATCCAATCTTCCTTTCTTATCCAAAATTCTTGAGAAAGTAGTTGCCAAACAAGTTTGCGATCACTTCCACCATAATAACTTTTTGAAGAGTTTCAGTCTGGCTTTAGAGCTCATCATAGCACTGAAACAGCTCTGGTGAAAGTCACTAATGATATTCTCATGGCCTCAGATAATGGACTTGTATCTGTGCTCGTCCTGTTGGATCTTAGTGCTGCATTTGATACAGTTGACCATAATATTCTTTTAGAAAGACTTGAATATTTTGTTGGAATTAAAGGAACAGCACTAGACTGGTTTAAATCTTATCTATCTGATCGAATTCAGTTTGTTCATGTTAATGATAGATCTTCAACACGCTCAAAGGTTACCTGTGGAGTACCACAGGGATCAGTGCTAGGACCAATTCTCTTTACTTTATACATGCTCCCAATTGGTAGAATTATTAGACAGCATGGGATTAATTTCCACTGTTATGCTGATGATACCCAGCTATATCTGTCTATAAATCCAGATGAAGCTAACCCATTACATAGATTACAGGCATGTCTTGAAGACATAAAAACCTGGATGACTATTAACTTTCTGCTTCTGAATGCAGACAAAACAGAAGTTATAGTCTTTGGACCAGAGTCTCTGAAAAAGAAGCTGATTAGCCAGTCACTTCATTTGGATGGGATTAAACTGATTTCAGATAATAAAGTAAAAAATCTTGGTGTTATTTTTGATCAGGACCTGTCATTTAAATCCCATATCAAAGAGGTTTCTAGAATTTCCTTCTTTCATCTGAGGAACCTTGCAAAAATTAGAAATATCCTGTCCAGGGGTGATGCTGAGAAACTAGTCCATGCATTTGTTACTTCAAGGCTGGACTATTGTAATTCTTTACTATCAGGAAGTCCACAAACTGTAGTTAAAAGCCTTCAGCTGATCCAAAATGCTGCAGCCAGAGTTCTAATGAAAATGAAAAAGAGAGATCATATCTCTCCTATCCTGGCTTCTCTTCATTGGCTTCCTGTTAAATCAAGAATAGAATTTAAAATCCTCCTTCTCACATATAAAGCCTTAAATGGCCAAGCTCCATCTTATATCAGAGATCTGATTGTTCCTTATGTTCCTAACAGAGCACTTCGCTCTCAATCTGCAGGTTTACTAGTGGTTCCTAGAATTTCTAAAAGTAGAATGGGAGGCAGATCTTTTAGTTATCAGGCTCCTCTCCTGTGGAACCAACTACCAGTTTTAGTCCGTGAGGCAGACACCCTGTCTACTTTTAAGGCTAGGCTTAAAACTTTCCTTTTTGATAAAGCTTATAGTTAGGGTGGCTCAGGTTATCCTGAGCTATCTCTATAGTTATGCTGCTATAGGCTTAGACTTTTGGAGGACATAGGGACCCCCATTTCATCATTCTGCTTCATTCTCTCTCTGTTCTCCTATTCTGCAGAATCTGTTAGTTCAATCTCTAACCTTCTGCTCTCTCTGCTTTTCCTCAGAGTAGCTTTGCCTCGTCTGTTCCTGTTTGGCTGTGACGTCATCCTGGAAAAAAACATCAGCTGTGCTGCTTCTATCAACACCCTTGTTAATAGATGTTGGAGATCGGCCTGTTTTCCAGTGTGGTCCTGTTTCTCTGACCGTGACTGAGTGGATGTGCTCTCTTCGTCCTCTGGCATGGGAGCTGCCTTGGAGCTCGTCTGCCTGGCTGTGTGTTTCCTGGACGGGGCCGCCTTTTACAGCTGCTTTTTGTATCTCTGCTTCTGTCTCCTTGAACCCCAGTCGGCCTCGGCAGATGGCCGCTCACACTGAGCCTGGTTCTGCTGGAGGTTTCTTCCTGTTAAAAGGGAGTTTTTCCTCTCCACTGTCGCTACAAGCATGCTTAGTGTGGGGGATTGTATTTGAGTCAATGAGTCAATGCAATCAACTGGTTTTCCTTAGATAGAAAACTTTGTATCAATTTGACTGTATGATCTGGTTGAACTGTAAAGTGCCTTGAGATGACATGTGTTGTGAATTTGGCGCTATATAAATAAACTGAATTGAATTGAATTGAAATTAGTTGATTAAATGAATACAACTTTAGGTAATATAGAGCAATTCTGTGTGCGGTATGCAGATGGAAGAAACCGCAAACATCAGTGAGAATGGTAAACATCTGGCATTAATATTGTTTTGATGGAGGCGATGGCATAAACAGACAAATATAACACATTTTCAATGTGAAGCAGAATCTGCAATGTCATTTTTTACTATGTTCATTGCAGTTCTTATATGAGTAGAATAGCTAACGCAAGCTCTTTTATTTTGAAGGGACAAACCGGATGTAGCGCGGCTTAGCCTCTCTGACCTGACAGTGTTGGGGTTTTGCGGGTGCTGAACGCGGTGGACAGCAGCAGAGCGGATAAAAATCTGCAAAGGTAGGCTTTAATACCCTTTTTGCTGCTGCACTGCTACGGCATCATTATTCACATCTGAATAAGAAACGTTACATTCACTCTGCACATTTTGATTGATCTAAAATCAAAATGAAATGATTCAGATAAAACCGCTGGCATGGAAACGTTTTTGCCCTGACAGCTGTTCCCATTGTGGAAAAGGAGCAGATATGTAAGCGGTGAGATGCGTGTTTAGGATCCCAGAATGAATGAATAAATGAAAGCTGTAATGGATCTCTGCTTGAGCTCAGGGCCTGCCTTGTTCTGTCCTGCAATAAAAAAAGGCGTTCCAAGCCATCCTATGGTTTGGAAATGGATCTTAAAGGGTCGCAGCCAAGACTGATATGAAATTAGATTAAATGCATTATGAAATTAGACTAATGTTATGGGGTTAAAATGTGTGCATGCAGTTAATGGCAGATCATACTAATATTTCACAAGATCTTTTTGTTTAAAGGGTTTTTTTACACATTAGACACATTGAGCCATATGGAGTGTTCATGTGATGTGGTAAACATTTAGTAAAGCATGTCTTATTGCATAGGATACAAATCAATAATACATTTAGCAATATGTTTATAATGGGGCATGCTTAGAGGTTGGCAAAGAGGGATACAAACTAGATAGTTGAGGGAGAAAATGGCTTTTAAAACGTGCCAGAAAAAGATAAATTAAACTGTACACTAATGCATCTGTTGGGTCAGCTGAGTCAGTGATTCAGAGTTGATTGATGTTTAAAAGTACAAAGACTCAGAGTTTTCACATGGGGTTCATGGGAATTTGTTGCTGAATCTGAGCACAAGACATGATGGTATCTCTTAATTCACAAGCAGGTTTTTTTTTTCTTTTATCTCACACTTGAATGTGTCTGAATGCACCTCAGCATCAGCAGTCTGCATATCCAATCTGACCAAATTCAAACATTAGAGGAATGAGTGGCTGGACCTTTGAACAGGAACAAAAGGAAGCCCCAGAGGCAGAAAGTGCAAAGCAAAGCTGCACCAAATGCACTAATGAAAAAACCCAACAATCTGAAATAAGACATCTCGCCTAAAAGCAGCATAAAGCGTTCCTCAAACAGAAGCAGTTGATGTACTGAATTCACCTGCATACTGCATAGGCAAGAAATAAAACATCCTCCACATCCTGCCTGCTCTCCTCACTGCTTTCTGTTTTAGGAGTAAGACTGAGTGAAAAATGAAGGGATTGCTATTTATAGCGCCCACTTCTCTCATCTGCATCCCCGTGCTTCCTAGAAGAAGGAGGAGGAATGTGATTGGAGGGAAAAAAGGAGGAAAATGCCATCTAAGGCTACTGTGCGGCAGGATAGCAGCTGACTAATACACTCACTGTCTCCTTGCATTAATCAGTAATCACTGTTTCACAAACACTGACATGCTGGTAAAGGATGTATCAGAGGAAAATCTTTATATTACACTTATAAATGTACACTATAACCAGATGAGGTACAGCAGAAAATTTTGGTGGAAGATGCAAACACTAGCAGGTGTTTTTAGGTCAGGCATTTACTGGATATTATATATATTCACAGTAAGGAGGTTAAGAGTCTTGGTTGGAGTTCTACATTGATTTTTGGCCTCCATGTATCAGAAAAAAAGACTTAAAGTGCAAAAAATCTAAAATTTGAAATGTATTTTAGCATTTAAAACTTAGTTGTTTATTCTTGTCCTACTTCAAACTAAACGTTAAGACAGTGCTTCCGCAGTGCTGCTAAAGTCCCTATCTTACATACCCAGGGGCGGAGCTAGATGGGGGGCCAGGGGGGCCATTGCCACCCTTAGCCAATCATTGGCCACCCCTACCATTTTTTCCCCTCAAATACAGACAGTGGCAGCAGTAATACTCTGAAGGGGAATGTTCAAATTTATTAAACATTTAAATTTTTCATATATTAACAACTACTTGACAACAGAAACACTGTGGTTAATTCTGCACATCAATATACAAACATTAAAGATGATAAATACAGAATTCATGCTCTTTTCAGAATTTTTTTTTTAATTATTTGGGGTAAAGATAAAATGATATGCCTCTGCAAGTCATCTGGGAGTCTTCAGTGAAACCATAGATAAATAACTACTTTAATAATAAACAAAAAATCCATTAAATGTGGATATTAGTAGATTTTAATATATATTTTTTGCAGAATGATTATTGATAAAAGTAGGTAATGACAATGTAAAATATGTTCACCCCAGAACTCAAATTTGAGCGAATTTTGTCAACTGTGCCTTTTATTTACACAGCATAGATGTTTAAATATATTCCTCTATTTGTTAGCAAAGGCTGCAGGAAAGTATAGTTTGTCTTTATTTAAAAATATGGATGTTGTGTTCGTTCCTGTTGATACAGTGTAGATTGACCCCGAGGTTCTGGTGTCTGTGGGCCACCCCTCAATGTATATTGGTTATTGACTGGCCACCCCATTAGGATTTTCTGGCTACGCCTCTGGACATACCTGCTTTTTGCTTCAATACAAATTAAGTTCAAAGTGGAATTGTGTTTTAAAGATGGACCCTATCCATCCACAACCCATCTAAGCTACATAACTGATGAATCCAAATATGGTTGATTCACTGGTGTTTAGTCCTAAAACATTTAAACAAATTAATCAATTATTAAAATAATCATCAACTAATTAAGTAATCAATTAATAATTAACTGGAGTGTAAAGACTATATAACATGCCTTACCTGAAAGAGCAAACCAATGTCAATATGCTCTATTCAGAACTCCTGGTAAAAAAAAACCTTCTTTAAGTAACCTTTTCCTATTCGATTATTAATCGATTAACCGAAAAAATAATCAACAGATTAGTCGATTTGCAAAATAATTGTTAGTTGCAGCCCTAGTACCGTTATTACTGCAGCCTTCCCCCAAAGACTATTTACATAGTACACAGTGTCACGCTTAAACTTTGATCTAAATCATCTTTAGACGGTATAAATTTTGATAATACTTTCTTTTCGAACTGTACAGGAATCCCCAAAACACATTTTTTGTTTTTTTGATTTGCCTGATGTTAATTTTCTAGAATATTCCTGAGTCCATCGCTAATGAAAATGCAAGCTTTGTCCATAAAAGCTGAGTTAAGGCCAGAAAAGCAATTTATTTAAACACACCCTAGTCCTGATGCTTAAAGGAGTGGCTGGACAAATACAGGTTCAGTACAACAGAGTCAATGAGATGAGTAAATGGGTCTAGTTTGTTTGATTAAAAATACCTTTTGAAAACAAAACAAAAAAAAATGTAAACTAATATTTCAGTTTTAAGAATGAATTCTTTATTGTTTGACGCAATATTATATGATCTTGAAGGCACTTTTTTTTCAAAACTGTAAGCAGAAATTCAATTTAATCAACTAAAAAAGGCTTTAAATAGTTGGTCTTTGTAATTATCTATGTGATGTGTTCTGTTTCCTGAAGTTACTGAAATAAATTGTTTCAAAAATATTTAAATTTGCTGAGATGTTCTTGTATTTAGCCAGGTTTCTCTGAAGCTTGATCAAATATTAGTGAGCATCTACAGGTTTACTAGGGTTGTAGAAAATCCACAATAGATTTCAAGCTCATCCTCAGTATTATTCTTTGTAACATTTAAAGTCTCCTATCTAGCCTGACGTGGTCCTACTCAATTCTTGTCAGAATATGAGTCTGATACTGCTCCATAGAGATGTGATTATGGGGCGTGTTTTGAACGAACCAGGAAAAAAAATGCCTCTGCACTCAATTGGATAGACCTACAACCAATAAGAGCAACGGAGTGCGTGACGTATGTTAAGTGACGCATAGTTGTTGTCAACAAAAATCAAAGCGTGCAGTTTCACGCCTAGAATAAGATGGGCCTTGATCGCGTTTCTCTGTTCCTCTTTTAAAATTAATTTGCTGTCGATATCTTCTAGAACAGACCTAATAGCAGAATCTACTCACCCCAACTCTCCAGCGGCAGCCATTGTTGTTGTCACCCATGCGCGCTCTGGTGACGTGGTTGATTACGTTACTGTTGATCATCTGTCCATCATCGTATAAAGCCCGCCCTGACAATTTGATTGGCCTGCCAGATATTGTGCTAGCATACTCGCGCTACTGTTGAGCAATGCCAGACCGAACTTCCTGACCTCAAACGTTGTGGGCGGGACTAAGTTCGGAATGGCACCCAGGCTATCTCCTATCCATCCTTACAAGCCCCAAATTCATCACATTAACAATAAAAACTGAATGAGAAACATATAGTTGTACTGTACAGTTTGCAAAGTGTAAACAAGTTCCTGTACTAAATTATGTTTTGTGTCTTAGAGGAGTTTTAGAAAGCCTGTTAGACATACTATGAATTAAAAAGTTGAAGGACACAGAACTGACAGGAGATCAGATGGTGGAGGACGGCAAGATAATGCAGAGGGCAAAGTCAAGAGGCAGATCCAGGTTCAGTCCACAGTAGATTCCAAAGACAGGTCAGGTAGAAAGGTCAGAGAGGGGCAGGCAGGCTCAAGGTTCCGAAGACAGAAATGGGTCAGAATCAGGCAATCAGAACACAATAAGTGATTCTAGAAATGCTCTCACACGAAAGGCTCAATAATAATCTGGCACTGATGGCTGGGACCTAGTAGTTTAAGTAGAAGCAGGAGCAGGTGGATCGGATTAGCAGTGATGAGAAAACCGGGCAGAGTTAGACAGGTGAATGGAATGAGCAATTAAACCAGCCATCAGCGCCATCATATTTGTTAGTAAAACAAAATGTAGCAGTAATATGCATGAAAATCTCAATGTTTTGACATTTCCTGTATGTCTGTAACCATAGCTACCCATCAAACTGAGAGGATAGAGACAAATGCAACTGGCCAATCAGTAGACAGATATTTTTTTAGCTCTTTGACAGTTTTTTCTCTAAACTGCAGGCCATCAAACCCCAATACTGAAATAGAGTTGAGTTGCTGATATACAGGCTACTTCATAATACCAGAA